TATTGTAAAATTGAAAAAAGTCCTATAAATAGAGAAATTATCATTGTATGGGTAACTAGCATTTCCTGCCGCGAACGGAAGTTTCCTATCCCTTTCATTTACTCTAATATCTAAGATATTGTCCACCTGATGATAAACCACTCCTCTTATAAGATCACCCTTTCCCCTGGAACCAGAGGGTGACCTCACAAAAGAGATACTATACTGTACTTGACTATATTAATATATGCAAGGTTTATAATAATAACAGGATATCATTGTATGGCTGTCTATTGATATGAGGTCTGCTCCACGAACCCTCTGTACACACACTCTATACCTATCATTAGTATACAGTACTGTCTATAGAAATAACTTCACATTATATTGTATATACTAAAAGAATATAACTCCTCCTAATGACCTTTACTCATTCATTCATTATCAGACAGTATATATTTACCTGAATTTGAGTTACATCAGTAGTCTTGTTAACAGTTGGATATATGTATGGAATATTATTGATTTCACCATCACTTGGTCCCACTTCAAAATACACTCCAACAACTAATAAAATAATAATAATAATAATAATAATAATAATAATAATAATAATAATAATGGTAATGGTAATAATAATAATAATAATAATAATAAATGATAATAATAATAATGCAATTAATACCGAGTATGGTTGCATGTACATGTGATCTAGTAAAGGACTTTAAAATGTTTTTCTGACCTATTGCAGTACACAGTCACTGATGATCAATTATTTCAAGTAATATTGTGGCATTCCACAGTAAACTCCCTTGCACTGAACTTCTCTGGCTTCTTTTAGTTTAGAAACATAATCCAACAATGGAGCCATTTCCCTGTAATATGATAATAATAAATATTAATCAATTAAATTAATCAACAACAGGTATAACTTTCTAAACAGCATAAGGACATCAAATGACCATAACTCAAAAATTGAAGTGATTTTTTTTTATTTTCCGGATACTCCAACCACGTGAAAAAACGTGAATGTCCCATATTTAAAATGGCGGATTTTCTTTGTTCGGAGATTCTCAATTTTATTGTTTTCCTATCATCCCTTATATTATTTAGGTTAGTATTATGATTAAAATATAGTCAGTACTTATTTTTTATTAAAACATTTAATAAATAGATTTAACTGAGGTAGGATTAGAGTGGAGGTTGGGGCCTTGCTAGCAGGTGGGTCATGTAATTTTTTCACATATTTGTTTTTTCTTTATTATTTTTGTGAAAGTGATTTTGATCTTTGTTATGTTGAATTTATAATTGAGAATAAGAGCAACTTTAGCAACAGATAAAAATACTTTTCAAAACCTTTTTTTGAAAAAATGATGGAATTACCCCACCTCCGTTATGCTGCCAGAAATGCCTCACCATAATTACTATAAACACAAAAATTTTAATGTCATATAGCTTTCTGTGAAACTCACTTGTGTGAATTTTTGTCTATTTGTACAAATTTGTAGCAGATTAAAATTGTAAAATTAACTTGAGTTATCTATGGTTTGAAAATTTTTAAATTCAAGTAATATGGAATTTTACATGTACTGAAATGTATGTATAAAGTATGATGTCCTTATGCTGTATAGAAAGTTTAAGCTGATTCCGACTTCAATTTTTCAAGTTATAGTCATTTTAAGAAAATGTCAAAAATCTGAAAAGTACCCAAGGCTATATATAGCCCATGGTTTTTCCAAAAAATGGCTCCGAAATCACCCCAAATTTTTATTACATTTTCTGATACATATTGATGTACTTATGCTGTATAGAAAGTTTGAGCTGATTCCGACTTCAATTTTTCAAGTTACAGCCATTTCAAGAAAATGTCAAAAATCTGAAAAGTACCCTGTACTATAGCCCATGGTTTTTTCCAAAAAATGGCTCCGAAATCACCCCAAATTTTTATTACATTTTCTGATACATATTGATGTCCTTATGCTGTATAGAAAGTTTGAGCTGATTCCGACTTCAATTTTTCAAGTTACAGCCATTTCAAGAAAATGTCAAAAATCTGAAAAGTACCCTGTACTATAGCCCATGGTTTTTCCAAAAAATGGCTCCGAAATCACCCCAAATTTTTATTACATTTTCTGATACATATTGATGTACTTATGCTGTATAGAAAGTTTGAGCTGATTCCGACTTCAATTTTTCAAGTTATAGTCATTTTAAGAAAATGTCAAAAATCTGAAAAGTACCCTGTACTATAGCCCATGGTTTTTTCCGAAAATGGCTCCGAAATCACCTCCAAATTTTTATTACAT